CTGCTGCAAATGCGCCACTTCCTTCGGCTCTCCTCCCTGCGACCCCCATCTCCTGCGCTTCGTCACGTTGTTCTCCGGCTTTGGCGCTGGAGGCACGTCCCCTGCGCTCCGGCTCCGGCGGTGCATGACCAGTGGCTCTGCAAAGATCTCACCTCGCTGCTGCTTCAGCGCCCAGATCACGCGCCCCTCATTCTTCCCCGTCAGTTTGTACGTCATGTCCTCAGACTGCCACCCGAACGCCCCCTTGAGGCTCCGATCAAAGTAGCACGCGCCTCCCGGGTGAGCGCCTGCTTGCACCAACTTTGAGAAGCGAAAGGGGTCGGCGCCCCCCCACCCGGTCTCGTCAACCTTGCCCATCAGCCGTGCCCAGTGCATGGAGGAGGGCGAGAAGCGGTCGCCGGAGTGCACCTTGTGCGGCTCGCGCGTGAACATGCAGCGGATCAGCTTCAGGCCGAGAGCGCTCTTGAGGCTCTCCTTGGCGAAGCCCGCCTCGTCGGCGGCGTCGATCTCCGTCGAGCACGTGACCTGCAGGCCATTCCCGCCCGCCGGGACGCCCGACGGCGAGGGCGGGTCGGATACGCTTGACGCGCTGCCCTCTGCCAGCCGGGGCGCGCTCACTGCCGTGTCCCGGACCTTGTTGCGGCAGCCGATGAGGACGGAGAATCGCAGGCACGTGATGCGGTATCGGGCGACGAAGGAGGTGCCAATGATCAGACCGCAGAGGTCGTGCATGGGAGCCGCCGCGCGCACCGCCGCGCTGCCCAAGAGCGATTCGACGATCTTCCACACCTTTGTGCCCGCCAGCTCATCCTTCCGCCGCTTCCACAGGCCCCACATGACATCCGAGAGGCGGTTCATGCCGCTGATGCTCTCCAGCGCGGTCGCGGGATCTACACCTGCCTCTGCCCACGCCTCGCTCGCCATTTCGTACAGCGCCTCGGCCCCGGAGGGGGGCTCACAGTTGAGCCCTGCAATGTGAAGCTCGACCGCGCCGCCCCTCACCCGCATCTGCAGCCGGAGCTCCGGCTGCTCGTCGCTGCCAAGCCGCCACACGATTGGCACACGAGATCGCGTGGCGATCTCGCCGACAACAACCCCTTTGAGCCGCAGAACCAGTTCCTGTGTCTCAGCGCAGAACTCGCTGCCCTCCACGCATTGGGACAGCCACAAGCCATCGACCAGCGTTCGCACCCAATGAATCGTGGCCTCGATCACGGTGGCGGGTGCGGCGGATAGGGCCTGTCCAAGCGCAGCGGCGAGGCCCTCGCCTGTCAGGCTGCCGACGCCGGCAGTCGGCTCCATGTGTGCACACGTGGTAGGCGTGGCACGTTTCGCGGCGCCGCGGCGCTGCGCTGTCTCGCGCCGGGTTTTATTGCCTTTCGCGATCTCGCCGCCGGGTTTCGAACATGATTCCAGTCCGACGAAACCGAAATTCACAATAGTTCCTCGGCGCGAGCGGCGTACGCGGCGTCGCGGCGGGGCGCGACATCTCGCGAGAGGACCTACGAAACGTGTGGTCTCCCGTTCCGGTGACCATCGTGCTCTTTTTGAAATTTACTACGGAACGGTGCTGCGGGGGCAGAGAGCCTCACAGCTCACGAAAGAAGCCGCGAAACAAATAACTCACTCCTACCTCTCAGCCGGCGCCTTTAGATTCTTTGACTTGAGAGAGAGATTTTGTTTTGTGTTGACTTGTGCTGTGAGAGAGGCTTGTATTTTTAGAATTTAAACACAACAACTCTCTCTCACAGCAGACAGGCTCGACACAGGTGCGAACTGGCGCGTGCTAGCACTATCACAGGCACACCTATTTTAAGAATTCTTTCTTTGGCCTCAGCCTCGGCATCGTTCGGCCCTCCTTCTTTCCCCTCCTCTCCCGGCGCTGGATCTCCTTTAGGTTGCCCCCAGAGGCACGCGCGACATCCGGGTACTTTCGGGCGTACGACAGCAGCTGCGCTTTCGCGAGCCCGCCTCTGGCGGAGGCGCCAACGTGGAGAGTGATCCGCTTCAGATTGGGCATATGCTTGAGGAGAGCCCCTTCTGTGACCGCTGCTTCTGGTCGGGCATGCGCCGCTTCTCGATCCCCATCACCGTGCCCGACGAGAATGGCGAGGTGATGATGTATAACGAGAAGGACTTTTCCTTGCCTACGCATTGCATCCTGCATGGCGACAACGGGGACATTTGGATCCCATGCTGCTGCAACCTGCCCACTCTCAAGACGTACACGTCCGACCGCACTTACGTCGGCAAGACAAAGTACGTCTGTGACGAGTACCTGTGCGTCCCGAAGCTGCGCACCTACGACGCCAACGACAACCCGATGTACATGAT